CCCTCCCACCGTTTTGATAAGAAAATAAAACTTACTCCCGGATAATTGCCGCTGCCTCGACTTGGCGTCGGAGTGTTTATTTTCGTCCCTCGTGGCGGCGCTTGCTCTTTGATAGTACTTCAATCTTTCCTTTTCACCCAGATTTTTCCATGCGTCGCTCAGCATATTGTCTATTTCCGACGGAGAGCTTTCGTCATGTTTGAGCAGGAAATGGCGTCGATTTTCACTGAAATATTTAGCATACAGCGTTTATATGTGACTGGTTTATCTGTCCTAGTTTTCACTTGAAACACTTAGACATACTTTAAAGCATGGGACTTGTATTTACTTTCAGTTTTCGATGTAGTATTTTTGTACATATTCTTAAGGTTACGTCAGCCTCGTGCTAGACGTGCTGATAACGTCGCAAATCTGTATCGAACTCACGTGCTATGGTAAGGGAAATTCTATTGATTAGAAAAAATCAATTACCAGGCAACGAGACTGGAGGTTGTCGCGCAAGGCTGACGCCAACCTTATAGATATGCAAAAAATGACAGTATGACAGAAAAACTGAGAAACGGATGCTTATTATCAATCAGAATCATATCCAAATGTCTCACCTGAGCCAAAGTATGGAGGCATGTTTTCCAACCTTCACATTTTTCAACAGATCGTCCGCGTCGTCAAGCTTCCGTTTACCAGCTCTTTCTGGGGGAATTTTCTCTACCTTGGTACTTACATGACTGAAACACAATAATAATTATTGAATCAACCAAGAAAAAGACTATGTCTATTTGTCTGTATATATATGAATACACGCATGTCTGTCTGTGTCTCTAAATGGAGTGGAGTATGCATGTATCGCTTTAGTATCTGTGTGTACAGGAAAAAATCTCTAAAATAAGAAAGGAAATGTTTAGCAGTATTGCGTTAATTGATGTCTGTCTGTGTGTCTGTCTGTCTCTATGTCTGTCTGTCTGTCTCTATCACAAAAAATAATGAAGTGGTGTATACGGGTAATGCGTTAGTTGATGTCTGTCTGTCTGTCTGTCTGTCTGTCTGTCTATCACAAAAAAGAATGAAGCGGTGTATACGGGTATTACGTTAGTTGATGTCTGTCTGTCTGTCTGTCTCTCTATCACAAAAAAGAATGAAGTGGTTTATACGGGTATTGCGTTAGTTGATGTCTGTCTGTGTGTCTGTGTGTCTGTCTGACTGTCTGTCTCTCTATCACAAAAAGAATGAAGTGGTGTATACGGGTATTGCGTTAGTTGATGACTGTCTGTCAGTCTGTCTGTCTGTCTCTCTATCACAAAAAAGAATTAAGCGGTGTATACGGGTATTGCGTTAGTTGATGTCTGTCTGTGTGTCTGTCTGTCTCTCTATCACAAAAAATAATGAAGTGGTGTATACGGGTATTGCGTTAGTTGATGTCTGTCTGTCTGTCTGTCTGTCTGTCTGTCTGTCTGTCTATCACAAAAAAGAATGAAGTGGTGTATACGGGTATTGCGTTAGTTGATGTCTGTCTGTCTGTGTGTCTGTCTGTCTCTCTATCACAAAAGAGAATGAAGCGGTGTATACGGGTATTGCGTTAGTTGATGTCTGTCTGTCTGTCTGTCTGTCTGTCTGTCTCTCTATCACAAAAAAGAATGAAGTGGCTTATACGGGTATTGCGTTAGTTGATGTCTGTCTGTGTGTCTGTGTGTCTGTCTGACTGTCTGTCTCTCTATCACAAATAAGATCTGAGTGGTGTATACGGGTATTGCGTTAGTTGATGTATGTCTGTCAGTCTGTCTGTCTGTCTCTCTATCACAAAAAAGAATTAAGCGGTGTATACGGGTATTGCGTTAGTTGATGCCTGTCTGTCTGTCTCTCTATCACAAAAAAGAATGAAGTGGTGTATATGGGAAATGCGTTAGTTGATGTCTGTTTGTCTGTCTGTGTGTCTGTCTATATGTCTGTCTGTCTGTCTCTATCACAAAAAAAGGATGAAGTGGTGTATACGGGTATTGCGTTAGTTGATGTCTGTCTGTCCTCTGAAAAAGAATGGAGTGGTATATGCAGGTAGCATGTTTGTTGATACAAAGAATCTGGTCTAACCCAACGTCGTTCAGTATCTTCACGGATTAGGAGACATTATCAGAAATAAAATAAATATATTTACAATATACATAACAACAAACAAGAATCACTCTTATTTGTGTGATACAATTCCTTTAAGGGGTTTCTGACGTTATGAAATACAGTACCAGGAACTCCAATACCAAACCTCATCTACATTTCTCAGATTACTCCTTTATCTTATCCACAATAAGACTCTGAAATACTAAGGTTTGGTCTATAAAATACAGCCTCCTACACAGTCTTTAAAAGAAATATTAGAATGCTAGAAATCATAAAACAAGCATTATTATGTCCAGACACCGCCAGTAGGGAGTAGCTAACTAAACGAGAACCTATACAAAGCAAACATCGTAAATCCAGCGGAAAACATCTGTGGTTGTAAATTTATCTACAGGTATAGAAATTATCGATAATGGTCGTGGATTAATTCTATACGGACAAAAAAATTACATATATATCAGGTTTATATGTACCTAAGTACGTGTATTCACATTCCTATACCTCTGATCAGGAGTTCAGACAAATCGAATAACACGTGATAGCGAGTTATGATTTTTGTCTGCCATCTTGTTCGATATTATAGGACAATGTTAACTCTATGCAAATTGCAGTTCAATACTTATATTTACATTTTCATCGAATTTTGTAAGAAAAATGATTTTTCATTTATTACATTACTTCTTAAAATTAAGATTGATTTTCAATGAAAGGAATAGCTAACAGCCAGTATCTTCCAGACATCACTAACATTATGATTGTGATCTTGACGCCACAGCAGGCTTCACATTTAATTATTATGAAATCATCTAGCCTTCAGCTGGTTATAATTTAAAACATTGAATAATCAGCTGGCTATAATAAAAAAACATCTAGTTTCAGCTAGTTATAATGAAAACATTGACCCTTGAGTTAGTTTTAATGAAACAATCGGACGAGTTCATAAAAACACTAGCGAATTCATCATGCAAATGTCGGGTCAAGTCTTGCATTTCCGTAGTAAAGTACAAAATCAAGATATAAAAGAATAATTTTTAGTTTTTCACTTTGTGTTCATATAGCCATAAACTGTTATATTCCGCAAAATCAACATTTCTCTGCTTCCGCGTATGACGTCAAGTTGCATATATATAGTATTTATTATTACGTCACAGCTGAAACAAATGGAATAACATGTTGATTAGTTATTACAAATGCTCGAAATGGTTTGAATAAGATCTTCACTAACACAAGAATAAAGAAATAAATACCTACCTTTGCTGTCGTCTGCTGGAATCCCTCCCATTACACTTGGGTGCCTCTTCCTTTTTCTTTTTATTACTCTGATCAGAAGTTTTGTCGTCAGGTTCAACTGGACTTACTTCCGGCGCCCTTGACCTTTTTCGTTTGGTTGTGGGGGATGGGGAGAAACATTTCTTCAGTACTAAGTTTGGTTTCAGAAGACTCCTCATGGGGATAATCTTTTTCTTTACTTTTTTATCACACGGTGTTAAAACAAGTTCAGTATTATCTGGGCACATATTGAGAATGGCCGATTTTGACGAAGGGGATGCAACTATCCTTGTTGTTCCGTCTAGAGACTTCTTAACTCGAATCTTGAGTGGAGGACGGCCATCAGAAGAAACCAAATGGCTTTCCCCTGTCGTTGTTTGTTCTGAACTTGTAGAAATAATTGTCCGCTGTGTATTACATGGGGATATTTCGATTCCCGTGTCTTGCATCTTTGGGGACGAATCTAAAAACATCTCATCTTTTTTGTTTGGAGCAGAAACACTATCGTCAGAACAAGAAGGACATACAATTTCTCCCTGTTCCGTCATATTGTCTTTTTCTCTCTGGGCATTCAATATATCTTTCGTTTGGCTCGGATCGGTTGTTTTTACGTCTGATTGGGTACTCGTACTGGTTCGTTGTTCTCGTCCGACTGTCTGACTCTCGTCTACTCGTCTTAGGGGTGTAAACACATACTCTTCGTTCCACTTGGACGGGGTGTTTTCTCTTCTTTCTTGCAGTCTAACACTCCGTTTGGGAGTTGTTCCCTCCGTGAGTGGTCGTCTGCATTTTATTGGAGTAGTCATGGCTGCGACTGTGCTGGGAATGTCTTCAGGGACACCACAACCAACCAATGTTCTGTCTCTTTGCATAACTGATTTGACCGGAGATGCATCTTTTAATAATTCCCCACCTTTTTTATCTCCGGTTTCTTCACCTATCAGACTTGATTCTTCTGCCCATCTCACGCCCATTTCACTTGTGGATGTCCTCTTGGTAGCATCACCTTCGGCATTATGAACGCTTAATTCTTTATTAGTTGAAGTGTCTGAATCTGTGATGGCGTCGATTTGGTCCTTTAGGGAAGCTTTTCCTGAGCTCTCTTCATTTTCTGCTCGTGCGTCTGTCAACGTATGGAGTTTTCCGTGAAGAATGTTATCATCAGTTGGTTCCTCTTTAACAACATCAGCATGCACCACCAAACTTGTATGAGATACTAAGCCAGATTCAACATCGTTTTGAACCTCCGTAGTCAATTCTTCATCAGATCCAAGCTCTGTATCGCATCCAGTACCAGTATCCGTGCTGTCATTGTCCTCATCACGAACCACCAACGTTTTCTTTTGATTTTCCTGTATTTTGTTAGTTTTTGTTTTGAAGTCAGCAGACTGTTCTTTCTGCAGTGCTTTCTCTGTTGTTTGTTCTCCTGCAAACGAATGCGGCGAATCATCGTCCTGATGAAATTCGATGGATGGCTGTGCTTGCTCTAGTTCAGAGGGAGATGGCAAATCGTAATACATAAACGTGTCCTCCAGTTCTTTCTCGGAATCGACGGTTTGTGAAATTGATGTATCGCATTCTAGATCCAATACACAGCTATATGAGGATGAATTACATTGTTGCGACTCCTTTGACGTGTCTGTTTGGAATTGGAAATCCTTACTATCGAGTCCATACATATCCTCATTGTCTGAATCATCAAATTTGGAAGGTTCGTTAATATAAGTGCGACTTGATATAACGTTATCGGTAGGATTTTCAACTCGTTCGATCGGTTGCCCGTTGTTTTCTGGGTGTTGATTTGATTTAGCCGGTCGATTTGACATTTCGTCTTTTGTTGATAGGTCATTTACGTTGGTACTCATGTCAGAATAACCAGACGTATGTTCTGATTTAAAATTATGACATTTTTCAGCTTTTGCATTTGGTAAAGTGTGATGGTCATTGACAGTTTTTAAAGTTTGGTCGTCAGACTCGTCATCTACACCATAAGAGTCTTCTTCATCTTCATAATCGAATCTTTCTTTCTTTACAATAACTTTTGTGAAATCAAAATCTGTTACGGCTTCCGGACATTGCATGATATTGTTTGTCGGTTTAATAGTCACTGTTTCACTGTAAATGTCACCCTTAACCGAGGTTCCACATGGGCCGACTTGTTGAACGTTAGTATTTAGATGAGTCTGTGTTTCTACTTTCTCCTTCTTTGGTGTTAGTCTCTTGAATCTTTGAATCTGAAGTCCTTCCCACAATTCGTCGTTTTTTACTTCACTTCTTAGTTTTTTTCTTCTAGGTATCGACAGTGAGTCTTCATCCTCGTCCTCTTCCTCTGTTGTACTTTCGTACTTCCTTCTAGCAGTATTTCTGCCGATGTCACCGAATTGTATTTCACGTCTGACAGAAGAAGTCCATTGGCCACCTTTAGATGTTAAAGGGGGACTCCCTACATAATTTTGTTGACCATGATTTTCTGATTCGCTTACTGGTTCTTGTTTGATTCTAACTCCTTTAGTATTTGGAGATGGTGATGCGTCAAGACTTCTTCCATTTCTCAATATTCTTGCTGTATTGGTTTCTGTTTGTTTTGGCGACCAGTAATCTCTGATTTTTCGTAACTCTCGCTCTGTCGCCGATCTTTCTATTTTTTGAGGTGACATTGACGACAGTGCTGAGTCTGATTCACGACATGAAGATTTCTGAGTGTTGTGTTTTTCGGACTTCAGGTTACATTTGAACTCTGTTTTCAATGTTACACTGTGAATCATCTGTGAATTCTTGCCACTATCCCATTTGGTTTTAAGTTTGGATGAACTGTTTTCTTGCTTCACGGACGGCAGACGAGCTTTTATTGGTGACGAGGAAGCACGTGTTTTGATTACAGAACATTCTGGACTTCCTTGAGACCGAATTCCGTATAACACTGGACTCTGATTTCCTAGGTATCTACCTATATCTTTGTTGTGTGTCCTTCCAGCGGTCGATTTATCAGGTGATACAGAAGCTTTTCGAATATTGTATGCTTTTCTTTTTCGTTTAGGACTTCGTATACTGCCATAAGAATATTTAACGGGAGATTTTCGTCTCGGACTGATTCGAAGTGGAACAGGCGGGAACGTATTTCTCCTGCTAGATCTCGGTGAGTGGTGTTTGTCTGGAGATGGAGATGCCCGTTTGACAACATTAGAGCAAGGTTTTACTGGTGATGAAGACCTACGGCGAATACGAGAAGAGCTTTCAGATGAACATTTTTTTCGACGCTGCACGGCAGATACCGCCTCTTGTTTTATATTAGTACACACTTTGGTTTGTGTTTTATGGGAAACTTGATAACAGCTTTGATTTGATTTTGAACCTCTCGACGACGATTTCACTAACACTTTTCCTTTGGAAATTACTTTCGGATCCACACTGGACGTCGATATTTTTGTAACTGTATAAGTTTCATGGTTGTAATCCTTTTCGCATGAAAAATCTGTCACCTGTGAAGTTTTACGTCTTGGACTGCGTCGATAAGAAACATGTTTTTCTGACGGTGATCCATGCGTTTTAAAGATACTTGCTGAGCATTTACTTGTGGTACTGGGCTTTTCTGAACGTAAAGGACGAGTTCCTTTAACTAACGGCGATTTTGTTGATTTGGATGGCGTTTTGATGTTAATAACATCCGTTTTGCATTTATTCATCTCTTCACTTTTGTGAGCCTGTTGTACAAGGGAATGCTTTTCAGTTGCAACGTTTTTGATACCACTCCGCAAAATGTGTTTAATTCCGTTGTCGGACAAATAGTCTGATTTTCCATTACTTCTCTCTCTACTCATCGCGACAAAAATATTACATATTTACATGTATGTCATAACGAGGAGTCAATAGTAATCAACGTAACACGTACCTTTCTGGACAGAATTCCTACAGCCATCTATAACGACGTCATAAGTAGAGGAAATGACGTCATAAATAACGTCTTAGCTTCCGGGTCAAAGTGATCAATCTTGACGTTGATTAATTCATGCATGATCGATTTATACGCTCGGGTAAATGGCTGATCTAGATTCAGACAGCAATCGTATGAGAAAAGTTTTAAACTCTTACGAAGGTAAAGATAAAACAGTAAAGTTTACTAAACAATCTATTTAAGGAATGACCAAGATTTTGTTTTGGTATATACGGTATATACCGAAACAAAATTGTGCACTTTGAATAAATCCGCGAAGCGGTTTATGCAAAAAAGTGCACAATTTTTTTTTGAAGCGGTTTATGCAAAAAAGTGCACAATTTTTTTTCGGTACATACCGTATATACCAAAACAAATTATTATAGGGGAGATAGGCAAAATTAAATTATAACATTTTAAAGAGGTTTATGCAAAAATAACCATTCATACGTAGCCATAGTTGTCGTTACAGAACATGCTTGATTTCTATTCATTTTTCATAGGACATTAGTGGTTATGTGTTCGATTTTTATCTTAACTCTAAAATCTGTAATGCTTTTATCTAATTATACTTTCTTTAAATAGGATATTTATTTTAACTTAAATGATCGAGCTCTTTGAATTACTGTTAAATTGGAATTTCTCACGGCGAGTTTTTTTTTTATTTAATCAGCACAAATGGATTCATTCTTTAATAATTATGTTCACAATTTACAAAAATTGCCGGGGAGTGAAATTACTCTAGACCGGTGTCCTTTAATGGAGCAACTCTGTGTACTCGCATACACAAATGATGTCGCAGAAAACAACATAACACAAAAACACATCTGCTTACAGCCAAAATGAAACAGAAAAGAAATGCATCTATTCCTGCCGTTTCAACGATCTCGACTTACTAATTAATAAACCGCTGTCCGTTTCCTTGGTGGCAGCATTTCCCTCTTGATTAGTATTGACACTTACAAAAAACCCCACTAATATGGGTTCTCCGGTAATTGAAGAACGTTGCCGACAAATTATTTTGTGAAGTGATCGTTTTCTTTGACTATTTCTACAAGGTTGTCGCACGATTTAAAGTCAAAGGTATATTTTCTAATTAATCATGGAGACTCTGAACTGTTCCTCACGTGCAGGTTCGTGTGCGCTGCCAATTACACCCAGGAGGAGCGCGGTCTCAGAGGTAGGTCTCTCACGTTTCTACTTCTAAGTAATACATAAATAACGATGTATACAGCGAAATATGTCTAACACGAAAATATGAGAGTATATTTTTCGGTCAGACCCATAAACCCAGGAATGTGGAGTTTCGAAGTAAAATATTGTGCGGGGTCACTTAACAGGCGTTGTTCTCGATTAAGTGAAGGAATTTAAGATATTGCTGAGGTACCCGATTAAGCGTAAGGCTTTAATATATTGCTGAGGTACTCGATTAAGCGTAGGGCTTTAATATATTGATGGGCCGGGATCTGATTCCCCGATCGGACGTGAAAAAGTATGGGGTCTCCCGCCCGACTACGTGGGTTTTCTCCGGGTACTCCAATTCCTACCAAATTAATATCCCTGCGCACTTACATCCGTGATTAATATAAGTTTATATATCATGTTTCTTATTTTCACTTGTTTTCATGCGACAGATTGTCAGCATTATGCAGGTTTTATCATGAGTTGTCTCTGTAATAAACAATGTCACCAAATTCTCGTCATTGTTTCTGTGTCGCGATCAAATCAACCATAGACAATATAATCTCTTTTATCTGAACCCTCATATACAGATTTGTTTTGTGATTAGAACTCTCTTAATTAGTGTTATACGACGGAAAAATATATATAAAGGGAATGATCTAAACTGGTTTTGTTAAACTCTGTGATACTTGTATTCAAAGAAAGACGCTTTTTAATGTCACCTTACTAGAAATTGAAAATATGATGGACTAGATAGTCAGAGGGCGTCTGTACCCGTCAATCTACCTAACAGTGTGTACACATAGTGAAGGCATCTGTACCCGTCAACATACATTCTGTAACTAACAATGTGTACACATAGTGAGGGCATCTGTACCCGTCAACATTCATTCTGTAACTAATAGTGTGCATACATAGTGAGGGCATCTGTACCCGTCAACATTCATTCTGTAACTAACAGTGTGTATACATAGTGAGGGCATCTGTACCCGTCAACATTCATTCTGTAACTAACAGTGTGTATACATAGTGAGGGCATCTGTACCCGTCAACATTCATTCTGTAACTAACAGTGTGTATACATAGTGAGGGCATCTGTACCCGTCAACATTCATTCTGTAACTAACAGTGTGTATACATAGTGAGGGCATCTGTACCCGTCAACATTCATTCTGTAACTAACAGTGTGTATACATAGTGAGGGCATCTGTACCCGTCAACATTCATTCTGTAACTAACAGTGTGTATACATAGTGAGGGCATCTGTACCCGTCAACATTCATTCTGTAACTAACAGTGTGTATACATAGTGAGGGCATCTGTACCCGTCAACATTCATTCTGTAACTAACAGTGTGTATACATAGTGAGGGCATCTGTACCCGTCAACATTCATTCTGTAACTAACAGTGTGTATACATAGTGAGGGCATCTGTACCCGTCAACATTCATTCTGTAACTAACAGTGTGTATACATAGTGAGGGCATCTGTACCCGTCAACATTCATTCTGTAACTAACAGTGTGTATACATAGTGAGGGCATCTGTACCCGTCAACATTCATTCTGTAACTAACAGTGTGTATACATAGTGAGGGCATCTGTACCCGTCAACATTCATTCTGTAACTAACAGTGTGTATACATAGTGAGGGCATCTGTACCCGTCAACATTCATTCTGTAACTAACAGTGTGTATACATAGTGAGGGCATCTGTACCCGTCAACATTCATTCTGTAACTAACAGTGTGTATACATAGTGAGGGCATCTGTACCCGTCAACATTCATTCTGTAACTAACAGTGTGTATACATAGTGAGGGCATCTGTACCCGTCAACATTCATTCTGTAACTAACAGTGTGTATACATAGTGAGGGCATCTGTACCCGTCAACATTCATTCTGTAACTAACAGTGTGTATACATAGTGAGGGCATCTGTACCCGTCAACATTCATTCTGTAACTAACAGTGTGTATACATAGTGAGGGCATCTGTACCCGTCAACATTCATTCTGTAACTAACAGTGTGTATACATAGTGAGGGCATCTGTACCCGTCAACATTCATTCTGTAACTAACAGTGTGTATACATAGTGAGGGCATCTGTACCCGTCAACATTCATTCTGTAACTAACAGTGTGTATACATAGTGAGGGCATCTGTACCCGTCAACATTCATTCTGTAACTAACAGTGTGTATACATAGTGAGGGCATCTGTACCCGTCAACATTCATTCTGTAACTAACAGTGTGTATACATAGTGAGGGCATCTGTACCCGTCAACATTCATTCTGTAACTAACAGTGTGTATACATAGTGAGGGCATCTGTACCCGTCAACATTCATTCTGTAACTAACAGTGTGTATACATAGTGAGGGCATCTGTACCCGTCAACATTCATTCTGTAACTAACAGTGTGTATACATAGTGAGGGCATCTGTACCCGTCAACATTCATTCTGTAACTAACAGTGTGTATACATAGTGAGGGCATCTGTACCCGTCAACATTCATTCTGTAACTAACAGTGTGTATACATAGTGAGGGCATCTGTACCCGTCAACATTCATTCTGTAACTAACAGTGTGTATACATAGTGAGGGCATCTGTACCCGTCAACATTCATTCTGTAACTAACAGTGTGTATACATAGTGAGGGCATCTGTACCCGTCAACATTCATTCTGTAACTAACAGTGTGTATACATAGTGAGGGCATCTGTACCCGTCAACATTCATTCTGTAACTAACAGTGTGTATACATAGTGAGGGCATCTGTACCCGTCAACATTCATTCTGTAACTAACAGTGTGTATACATAGTGAGGGCATCTGTACCCGTCAACATTCATTCTGTAACTAACAGTGTGTATACATAGTGAGGGCATCTGTACCCGTCAACATTCATTCTGTAACTAACAGTGTGTATACATAGTGAGGGCATCTGTACCCGTCAACATTCATTCTGTAACTAACAGTGTGTATACATAGTGAGGGCATCTGTACCCGTCAACATTCATTCTGTAACTAACAGTGTGTATACATAGTGAGGGCATCTGTACCCGTCAACATTCATTCTGTAACTAACAGTGTGTATACATAGTGAGGGCATCTGTACCCGTCAACATTCATTCTGTAACTAACAGTGTGTATACATAGTGAGGGCATCTGTACCCGTCAACATTCATTCTGTAACTAACAGTGTGTATACATAGTGAGGGCATCTGTACCCGTCAACATTCATTCTGTAACTAACAGTGTGTATACATAGTGAGGGCATCTGTACCCGTCAACATTCATTCTGTAACTAACAGTGTGTATACATAGTGAGGGCATCTGTACCCGTCAACATTCATTCTGTAACTAACAGTGTGTATACATAGTGAGGGCATCTGTACCCGTCAACATTCATTCTGTAACTAACAGTGTGTATACATAGTGAGGGCATCTGTACCCGTCAACATTCATTCTGTAACTAACAGTGTGTATACATAGTGAGGGCATCTGTACCCGTCAACATTCATTCTGTAACTAACAGTGTGTATACATAGTGAGGGCATCTGTACCCGTCAACATTCATTCTGTAACTAACAGTGTGTATACATAGTGAGGGCATCTGTACCCGTCAACATTCATTCTGTAACTAACAGTGTGTATACATAGTGAGGGCATCTGTACCCGTCAACATTCATTCTGTAACTAACAGTGTGTATACATAGTGAGGGCATCTGTACCCGTCAACATTCATTCTGTAACTAACAGTGTGTATACATAGTGAGGGCATCTGTACCCGTCAACATTCATTCTGTAACTAACAGTGTGTA